TTTTTTTTTTTTCTTCTTTCTTTCACCCGCGTCATTTCAAATTCACCACTCGACTTGATAGTATTCTCCGAGACCCTCGTCGATTCATTTTTTTTATTTTCTGCTCGACATTCAACGCGAATTGTTTACACCGGGGAAATATTACGTAACAACTTTCACCGTGGTCTAAATTTTCGAAAGAACGCCTACGTGGAAAACACATGTTAATGTAGAGACGTGTAAGAGGCGCGGAGTATCACGCAAAGACCAGTTTAGCGACTTTCTCCCAACGTCCTCTCGCTTTCGTTGGACGGTTTGTCGGTCGACCGTCACTATTGTTCGAGACCTCCGTACGATCCGCCGGCAACTACCTTTTTCGCGGCACTTTCTTCGATTTGAATCGTCACGATCGATCATCCCGAAAATTTTCTACTAAACGCTCGAGGTAAGTGAGAAGCGTAGAGTTGCTCTAAAAGTCAATATCTACTTATAGCCTGTAATTTTTATTTTATTATTACATTACATTACTATTGTAAAATAGTGAATCTCATACCGATAGTTCATTTCTATGAAAATACATTACAACAAAATTCAAAATGATCTAATAAAACGAGAATGGTTACGATAATAAGCAAGATGCACTTTCGACGTGAAACGACTCTCCAAACACTTTCTACATTCGAATTGCAGAATCAGTAATAATTTTCCATTGGTTTTTCTCTTTCTAGGATGATGTTGCGGTTCATTTGGTTACTAGGTATAGTCGTTCATGGTCTTGCGACACAAGTGCCAGTGAATAATCCCGAATGGTCGTGGCAAACAGAAGACACGATACCGACCAGCGAATCCGATAATCAGGACAAAGCAGAGGCTCAGGATAAAAGAGCTATTCTGGATGCAAATGCAAACGGAAATATAGAAATTGTCAGTCCACCTAATGAACAGCGATCGGTAAAGAATCTCGTTGAAACATCTTGTTATGTAATTTGACTACAGCAAAATTCCCTTGATTTTCTTAAGTAACGAGACAGTTATGTTTCTATCGCAGGTGGAATCGGTGGTCGATGAAATTCTCGTCTCTAATCGACAGGGTCGCAACATCGAGGGCTTCGACCAACTGTACGCAGACCCGGACGTAAAGAACGCGCTTCAATTGGGAAACGAGACGATTGCTCGAACGTACCTCAAGGACAAGTTGTGCTCTCTCGGACTGATGAACGTGAGTATGAAGTACGCGATACGGACAAAATGATGACAATATCAGCAGATGTCTTC